ATACACTTAAACTTAAAACATTAACAATCTCGCTTCGTATACCATGCAGTAACAAGATACGCACCAATCTGGCTAGTTAATTGGAGGATTGTAGTACTATACCGTTGAAGAAGCCATTCGATAGAACTGTCATGACCGTGGGTCAAGCATTTCAGTGCGGTGTTCCGTGTTCCAACTACATAACCGAGTTACTGTTATCTAGCTGTTCTCGAGTGCCGAGAAAATACCTCTCCTACTACTACAGTCATACTTCCAGAATAAATGAAGATGGATGAGCAATGGTCTACAAGACCTCGCTCCGTGACTAGTTGGATGTGTGCAAGGCTTACACTGTACCAGATAACTTTCCGTATAGCGGCATGAAAAATCACCTATCCGATACGGAATGTACATCTTTCAGAAGCTGAGCGAAACAACGTTTCCTGCGGCGAAAAATAGCGTTCCTAAAAGGTACGGATAAGTGTTTTTCACGTCGCTATGGAAGCCATCCGGTACAAGTGTAAACGTTGCCTAAATGTGCAAAAAGCCAAAGGTCGTAGTGGGAAAACGGGGCTATGATCGAGAAGGGAAGGAGGTTGGTACTGGTAGGGTCAGGATCGAGCCCTAGACAGATATTTATAGTTTTTATTTTTATCTGTACATATAACTCCTAGATTACTACTTAGATTTAACTAACTGTAAATCCACTGTATTTTTACACTAAAGATGGATAAATAAACTATTATTAGTATTTCTTATTATACCGGGTGCGATACAGTTGATCGGTCCGGTCGAATCAATAGCGACGACGTGCAGTTTACGGAGGGTAGCATACGCTGGTGTGTACGAATTAGGACGTGAGGGACGTTATTAGTATATAAAATGGTGCTGGTAGTGTTGCCCACTTGCCCAGACAAACTCAGAGAATCCAAAAATTGAGAAAGCTGTGACTGGGGACTCCGATCCCCAGGAGAAACGTCTACAAACAGGTGGTGCGGGAATCATGCTCTAAGCTAGGGTGAGGTGAGAGGGAACAATTTTTTCACGAGTTGAAGACAAGATTTCCTAGTACCAGTACCGGATATGATTAACCATATGGCAGAAGCGGCATATGCCGCGGGCCCCACGCTTTTGGAGGTCCCGCGCCTACTCTCTTCCAATTTCATTTTCCGACGTTTTTGTTCTCTGTTTTAGCGCTGGGCCCAAACAGCGCGGGACCCAAACAGTGCGAGGCCCCAAAATTTAAAAAGTGAAGCCCCAAAAAGTGGGGGCCCAAATGGTTTTTTCCCTGTTTCAGCGCGGAGCCCCTGCAAAGAGCCCAAGGCCTCCAGAAAACGTCAAGCCCAATTTAAAAATCGAGACCCGGCCAAAGAGCGGGACCCAAACGGTTGTTTTTGCCCTGTTTTAGCGCGGGATCAAATCAGCGCGGGGCCCCAAAGAGTCCGAGGCCCCAAAAGGGAAGCCCCAAAATAAAAAAGAGGTCAGAAAACGCGAGGCCCCAAAGTTTAAAAAGCGGGGCTCCAAAAGCAGGACCGCAAACGAATTTTTTTGTTTGTTTTTTGGGCAAGGTACTCCAAAAATCATAGGGGTCAGAAAATTTCAAAATTTGGGGTTAAACTGGTAAATGCGTGCGCCAACGAAATCGCCGTTATAACGAACCAGGATCAGCGCCTGAATTGCCACAGACTCCAGTCGACACGTTCTATACGGGTACGTTCCTGGTCATAGTCGATAGCCTTGATGCTGAGTTACGGAAACGACTGGGCGGTGGCAGGCCCTCAGTGTTATGGGAGGCCTGATTTGCAACGGATACACTGGCATTGCTCAACCTCGTCCCCAGGGCCATTTGCAGAGTGGCATTGCTGAAAGGTTTCGTAAATCACATATTTGTGCTTGAAATTTAACTAGATAAAAATTCGAGAATTGTGCCATTTATAATTCTTAGAATCCTTAAAGCTTTGAATTCCCTAAAAACTTCTACGTTTAAAGCAGATTTGTACGGACATTGAGTTTCATTTCAGCTCGATTTTAATACGTCACGAAGAATAACATAGACTCCATGGACTCAGGTTAGTTTGAACTAGCCTCTGGATTATAGTTCAAACTAACCCTGCTGAAACCCTAGACAGTTATTTTTTACATTTCAAAAACCTCACATTGGTTCAGATAAAGTTAACTTACATCGAACCTGGGTTTATTTTTCGTAGCATAAATTGAGCTTTCACTGATATGTATTCACTGAATACCACATTACCACTAGAATCACTAGACACAAATTTAGGTCAAAGGTCCACGTAAAACATTCAGCGTTAATTTAATAATAGCTCTCATAACAAAACAGGAAGCCATGGTCCATGATCATGTTGTCAGTATTTGCATAATAAAAGAGAAAGCAGATTTCGCAATATCATTTTCCCAGAATAGATTGCTTTTACAAGGAATACAACTTTGCCTTGTTCTTTCGCTATACGTACAATTAAAGTTGTGTTGCCGTCATTTTATATCAAACTTAAAATCGTTCTCAGTGCTTTTTATAAAACACGACAAAATGAACTGTGCAGATTTATTAGCGAAATTCGATGACTTGGTGAAACGATTTAGGAACGAATTCAACGATATAATTGAAGGAGAGCGAGCCAAAATGAAGGCGGAACTCGACGCTTACAACGCAGAGAAACAAAGAATGAAAGTCATCGTAGTCACTGACAACGATATCATACACCTCAACGTTAGTGGTCACAAATTAACGACCAAACGATCTACTCTTTGTCAAGTAGAAAATTCGCTGCTTGCCTCAATGTTCAGTGGACGTTGGGAAGACAGTCTCGAGCGCGATCAAGATGGCGCCGTATTTTTCGATTTCAATCCCCAGTATTTTGTTATTATTTTGGATTATTTGCGCGCGAAGAAAGTTGCCACAACAGAGAATCCCGCGCCATTGCCGATTGTTCCCGAAGATGACGCAAAAAATTTTAATAATCTTCTGGAATACCTTGGTTTAAGCGATGAAATCGTCCCCGCTGAAATAGTGCCTAGCGAGAAATTCAATCGACATAGCTCTGGAGTTACTCTTGAGGAAGGAGGAAAAATTGCAGTTAATGGTCCAAATGGAGGACATAGCTATGTTCTGGGTGGAAATATTTACCAACAACGCATTGTGCGTCTTAAGATGAAGTTGGAGTCTTTTCAAAATAATGATTGGATGTTTGTTGGCGTAACGAAAGGGGATGTTGTACCACCGAATAACCTTTCATATAAGTGGCCTGGTTCATATGGATGGGGGCTCGGGAGGGATGGTCAAGTATGGAAAGATGGATCACGTACGAATGATCATGCTTTAAAAAATGTCACTAAACAAAATGACACGGTTGAGCTAGTCTTGGATTGCGATGCTGCCAAGCTGTCACTACATTTGCCCACTGGTCAACGATTTCACATCGAAATACCCAAGCCACAGTCCTGGAGACTGAATGTAAACTTCGCGTACAGAAACGACAAAATACACATTATCGATGAGTAATAAAGTTAAAAACTTCGGCGCTCTCCATATTAGGTTCAGATTTGACTTCCACTAACGCTACCATTATGTACTATTAACCAATCACATGCATTTGATATATCAATCAGATGCATACTATTAAGCCAGTGTGAGGTAGTGAAAGTCAAATCTGAATCTCTCTAATAACACTGTCAGACTGGTTAGATCCATCAAATTGTTAAATGGAATACAAAACTTTCGGTTCTGAGATATTCATCTGGCGTTAGGCAGAGTAAAATACTAATGTAGGGCGTATTTTGGCGCATTGCAGCTTTGATGGGTTATAAGAGAGAGAAATTATGTCCAGCATGGCTGGTCTGACCATTTCAAATGAAAAGCGCGTGCTGTGTAGTCTTTTTTGTAAATATATCCAGTGCTTGCGATATGATTATGAACTTTAGCTAAATTGACGACTTTATGTAAATTTGTATGCGGCATATAGCAGAGTACGCACAGTGCCGCCCAGAGGGGGGGGGCAAAGGGGGCAATTTGCCCCGGGCCCCGAGTTGCTGGGGGCCCCTGAAAAATTTTTGTAGGGGCCCCGCTTTTTTTGTGTGTTAAATATTTCCGCGCAAAGGACAAGATATCTGTTTTCTTGGGCTAAGTACCGAATTTTGGCCTAAAAAAATGAGGTAAAGTCACTCGAAAGCGTTTGCAACGTACGCGTCCGGCGAAATTTTGCGTCCGAAAAATTTTTTTTACCTCTAAAATGGTACACTGACCGAAAAATTTTTGGCGACGGGGGGGGGGGAGGTCGCCAAAATAATATCCGGAAAAAAATTTTCCGGAAAAATTATTTTAGGTAGGGCCCCCTAAAAAAAATTTGCCCCGGGCCCCCGCCAACCTCTGGGCGGCCCTGAGTACGCATTCAGTATCAAAGTTGAGTTATACATTACAGTGTGTCTCAAAAAAAAGTGAACCCTTTCAAATTCAAATTAGCTATAACGTATTGTAGTAATTTGACAGCTCTAATTGCTTTGAATTAATGATTGGATAAGAACACAAGGTCTTGTACCACAGTTCTTGTACTCATGGGACAAAACATGTCAAAACTCTTAAAAACTTTTAAATTTTCTCATTTTTATTTCTTTGCGGATTAATTCAAAGCAATTAGAGCTGTCAAATTACTACAATACGTTATAGCTAATTTGAATTTGAAAAGGTTCACTTTTTTTTAGACACACCGTGTAGAATTATATAGTTGCATGCAGTCATTGTTTGTTTTAGTGCATGTAGTAATTAAAAATCAAGTAATAACAAATATATGGACAAAATATTTAGATTTATATACCAATGAAAACTATATATTTTACAGTTAACGGCAGAGTATTAGTGTTTGGAGGTAGGTGCCGTTTGTGGTCCAAGGCCGCAACTAGCCTTGATGGCAAGAAGTATTGCCATAGCAGCTGCGCAGCAACAATGAGAGCAACAATTACTGAGAAAGATATTCGTGATAATAAACATAGCATTAAAAACGTGGAAGATTGCCTTGATAAAGTAGTTGGTAAATTAAACATTATTAACCAACAGTTTGATGTATTTAGGGCAGAGTTTCAGTTGTTGAAAAACCAACATACGATTCAATATTCGCCTAAAGCTGTCGAATATTCAAATTTGGACAACCAAAACGCCTCCGGATTGCAAAAACGTCATGAGGAAAACAATAACATAATAGGATCGAATCTAAATGATGACATTGTAATGAGTCGTAATGATGCATTACAATCTCTGGCAAATTTGCGGTCTGAGTGCCTTTCCAATGTTTGTTATGATACTCAATTAAAGCGTCTTGAAAGGGAACTGCATGATGAACAAGATAAAACCAAGCAACTTGAATCTGAGCTAACGGTTGCCGAAACAAAAATCTTACAACTCGAACAGGTACTAAACCTACACGAGTTAGAACAAAAGAGTAAAGAAACTGACAATGGGCTTTGTCATGATCATTCCTGCATTATTTTGGAGACACTCAGCACTAATTGCATTAGAAATCAACACGCGCCTCCGACTCAAGAGAATACCTGTACTAATAAATATATTACATCTCAAGAATTACCACCTAACCCTCGAATACCACCAAAACAAGTTGATAAGCAGGAGCCTCAAAAACATGCTGGTCAAGTAAGTCAATTCCCAAAACATACGGAAATTTCGGACATAACTAACTGTTATGCCATCCCGACTCGCGTTACCCATAGAACACCATCAAAGAAATCGACGTGGCGACGAAATAAACATGGCGCTAGAATCAACCAGACTGAGGAGGGTTTTCGCAAGGACAAATGGAAAGCCAATATGAGGTTTTTCCAGTATTATTACTAGAACATGATTTTTCCCTATCAGGTCGCCCTACTTCAATTCATCGCGGACAACGTAATTTAAACAATATTATTCAAATTAACATTAATAAAACTGTTATTTCCAATGCTAATGACTATTTCTACGTTCCGAAACTATTATTGACAAATACGATGTCATTAGCTCCCAAAATTGATGAAGTGAGTTGTTTTGTCACAGAAAAGAGTCCTGACCTTGCCTGTATAACGGAAACATGGCTAAATGACCGTATCTCAGATTCCTGCCTCGATATTCCAGGTTACAATTTTGTTCATAAAAACCGCAGTGTGGGCTCCCACGGAGGGGTTGGGGTGTACATCAGGAACACGATATTTTATAAGCCTCTGAATCATCTCCACCATATAGATTACGAAGTTCTGTGGGTCTATGTTCGTCCAAGTAGACTTCCCCGCGGGTTTTCCTGCTTGATACTTGGTGTCGTTTACCATCCACCTAATGCTAATGATGATGAAATGCTCCAATTTCTCTCCACATCACTGATTACTATTGAAAGCACTTATCCTGGCTGTGGGTTTATTCTTGCAGGCGACTTTAATCGGTTAAAATGCAATCGGATATTAACACAGTTCAGTTGCAAACAGATTGTTAACGTTTCCACAAGGGCCAACCAGACTTTGGATCTAATAATAACCAACTTACATTCGTTTTATGATAAGAACTCTGTCGAAAAATTTCCGCCATTTGGTCTTTCAGATCATAATGTTGTGATTGTCAATCCTTGCAAAAGAGAACCCAAGTCATGCAGTAGAAGAATTATCTCTAGTAGAGATTTACGATCTAGTAAAAGGCATGAGCTTGGAAGATACCTTACATCTATCGATTGGTCCTCTCTGAATCATTTTGACACATGCGAAATGAAACTCCAGTATTTCGAAGAGTTAGTACGTCTCGGTATTAGCACCATTATGCCAATAAAGAAAACGGCTTTGCATGTACACGATCCTCCATGGATTACTGCAGAATTTAAAGAGCTTATAAGGAAGCGTCAAGCTGCCTTCTGCAGTGGAAATACCTTTCAGTTCAAGTATTACCGGAATCGGGTTAACCGCGAGCGAAAGACATGCCGGGCGAAATTCTACTCTTCAAAAGTAAAGAATCTTAAATCGACCAAACCGAAGAGATGGTGGAAGGAGGTGAAGCAGATTGCTGGTATGGTACCTACAACCGGCTCCGATGACCTATGTAGTCAACTTCATTTAGACGATATCGAGAATATGCAACGTCCTGACATTGCGAATTTAATTAATAACGCCTTTTTGGAGCCCATGAACTCCTTCAATCCACTGTCAACCCTTCCCCCCTTTGATAATTATTCCTCTTTTCAAGTGAACGAATTGGAAGTCTTTCATTTACTGAAAGCAATTAATCGTGGAAAGGCGTCAGGTCCTGACGAAATTCCCAATTGGGCTCTTAAGGAATATGCTGAAATCCTTGCACAGCCAGTATGCGCTGTGCTAAACAGCAGCTATGCCGAACAACAACTACCTAAATCTTGGAAGCTTGCCAACATTGTGCCCCTCATAAAAACTAAGCCCGTTAGCGACATTTGTAAGCAGTTACGACCAATTTCACTTACTGCCGCTATTTCGAAAATCGCCGAGGACTGTGTTGTTAAAAAATACATTGCTCCAGCTATCATGAGTATAATCGATCCAAGTCAATATGGAGTAATACCAAGAAGTTCAACTACTCTCGCTGTTATATCTATGATCCATGAATGGTCGCAAGTTACTGATGGCACTGGCTCTGCTGTCAGAGTCATCCTGTTCGATTATAGAAAAGCATTCGACCTTATCGATCATGCTTTACTGGCTGATAAAATTTCCAATTTAGCTATTCCACGTGCGGTTGCTCGCTGGACAATCGATTTTTTGATGAATCGAAAGCAGAGAGTGAAATTATCCAATGACTGTTATTCGGAGTGGGGAGATGTACTTTCCGGTATCCCTCAAGGTACAAAATTAGGGCCCTGGCTATTTTGTTTAATGATAAACGATCTTGATATTTGTGATATATCGAGGTGGAAGTTTGTTGATGACACAACAGTTGCTGAAGTAGTTAGTAAGGACACAGAGAGCCGTGTTCAAGTCGCAGTTGATGTTGTGGAAGATTGGTCGAAGGCAAATGGGCTATCTCTTAACACTGAGAAATGTAAAGAACTGAGAATCGATTTTAAAAGAATTAAACAACATTTTGATCCTGTACTGGTGGGTGGAGAAGCATTGCCTATAGTTGAGAGTGCAAAAATATTGGGTCTTGTTATGACAGGCACACTTCAGTGGAAAGATAACATCAGAGAGAGTATAAAGAAAGCTAATAAACGCCTCTATTTTATAGTACTATTGAAACGGGCAAGCGTAAATGTCAATGATGTCTTGAACTTTTATTGTACAGTGATCAGGCCTGTGCTCGAGTATTGTGCGCAAGCCTTCCATCATTCCATCCCAAAGTATTTGGCAGACGAACTTGAGACTGTCCAGAAACGTGTGCTAAAAATTTTATCTCCTGAAATGACATATTGTGAGGCCCTTGAGTATTTTAGACTGCCTACTCTATTTCAAAGAAGAGAGGACATGTGTGACAAACTCTTTACGAGTATCATCAAGGATCCAATGCATAAACTTCATCATCTGCTGCCCCCGAAGAACGAGACTGATTATTCTTTCAGGACGAATCGGTATTTTAATATGTACGTTACACGCACGAACCGCTTTTATAACTCTTTTATCCCTGCTATGTGTAGGAAGTTTGTAGGATAGATTTTATGCTTATTTTAATCGAATTTTGATCGTGGGTGGGTTTTTATAATATTGTATTAATAATATATTTATATGTAGTGCATGTGATAATATGTAATCCACGCAATTCAGCTTCTGGCTGCAATGTGGTTTCAATTTAATAATAATAATAATAATAATAATAAAAATAATAATAATAATAACAACCAGTAATATTAGCAGCAAAAAGAGATAGCCATGACAATTCTGCCAAGGCATACCTCCGGCACCAGTCACACTGACAAGTCAGTGGAAACGAAATACAATGTATAGTTGTCTATACATCCTATTCCTGTGAGATTAAAAAAACAAACAAAAAAAACACACAAAAAACCCCCCCAAACAACCCCCCCCCCAAAAAAAAAATACCGACAGACTACCAGATAAAATCCTCTAGAATATCATGAGTGGGTGGGTGGGGAAAAAGTAACGAGGCGCTAAAACTTGCTGCAACTAGGCAAAGCATACAATGGCAGAATGAATACCCAGACCAAAGCAATGATCACAAGGCGCGAAACAACCCCTTTGATCGATATGACGTCACGGACTCCCCTCAGCGGATGTAGCCTGCATAATACATCCGCCGTTAACCTTGCTTAAATATATTTAACCACATTTGACGGCAGAGTATTAGTGTTTGGAGGTAGGTGCCGTTTGTGGTCCAAGGCCGCAACTAGCTTTGATGGCAAGAAGTATTGCCATAGCAGCTGTGCAGCAACAATGAGAGCAACAATCAGTAATATTAGCAGCAAAAAGAGATAGCCATGACAATTCTGCCAAGGCATACCTCCACAATGGTCAGTACCTTCAAGTTCATAGCTCCAGTATGAATAAGGTCACATTCATAGCTCCAGTATGAATTCAACAACCTTAGTAGCTTCGGTATGACTTAATTAAACAACATTCATAGCTCCAGTATGAATAAGGTCACATTCATAGCTCCAGTATGAATTCAACAACCTTAGTAGCTTCGGTATGACTTAATTAAACAACATTCATAGCTCCAGTATGACTTAAGCAACATTCATAGCTCCAGTATGAATTAAACAACATTCATAGCTCCAGTATGAATTAAGCAACATTCATAGCTCCAGTATGAATTCAACAATATTCATAGCTCCAGTATGAATTCAACAATATTCATAGCTCCAGTATGAATTCAACAACATTCATAGCTCCAGTATGAATAAAACGACCATGTAGTTCCAATATGAACTTGAAGAGGAAGTGCCATGGCAAATTGTAATGTGCACTTATCTCCAAGAACTGACCACAAACTATGGCACCCACTACACGCGCTGCGAGACGTTAAATTATATCTGTACTAAAATTACCAGAAATACACGCAACTGACTGCAACGGGAATAAAATATATATTATTTTTTAACATAAACTCTTCGTTAAATTGGATAACAAGCGACGTGGTGTCCGAATGTATGTCAAGTACGCGGAGCTGGACCACCGTCCTAATGTTTGGATCAGGTGATCGGGAACACCTGCCAAAGCGGCGGACGTTGCAGCACCAATGCGAAAACTGTGACTGCTAAAATTGCCAGGAATTCCCGCATCGCTTAGCAACCGACGTAACCGTTCCGATAAATAGGTCCTAGTCAAAGGAACACCATTTGACCTAACGAACAATGGACCAGCCGAGCCGCCTCGTAGTTCCAGGAAATTCAGCATCGCTTCCACCGGGCACAAAGGGGAGCGGCCTTGTCCCAACGTGAGGATACAACCTTGACGGAAAGGATCAGTTTTGGACACTTTAATGTTCACTTGGATCCTAGAAGGAGCCACCCGTTGGTCAGCAGCGATGTCGTGGACGGAGAGATGTAAGGCTTGCGAGAACGTGGCACCATTCGGGACAGTAAATTCGGATGAACGTAAGAACCCGAAATAGGCTAGACAGCAGGCCGCCCAAAACATAACATCATCATACTGTGAGAGATCGAGATGACTGTATATAGCACGGAGGATTGCTGAGGTGACTGGGAGTCTCTTGTCAGAGGAAGAACCTTGACAGCGTTTAATGCCCTTTAAAACTCGTTGTAGACGTAAGCAACCACTCAACGGATCTGGAAAACCCTGTTCTATGTGAAGAGCTCGAACGGCAGACAAATACACTTTAATCGACGCTGCTTTTAAATCGTCAGCCAGCCATGTCGCAAACAGGCAAAGGGTCCATTCTTCAGCAGGCAAAAGAGAACCACGCGAGTTCATTAGCTTAGCTCCTTCACAAAAACGTAAGAAGGCGCGTTGAGCTGACGAATAGGTCTTTCGGGTTGACGACGCTAAACCCTGTTGTAGGTAACGTTGGCACTGGGCCTCTAATTGGTGGGAGCCAGCCGCTGTAGCATCTCTTCTGGAATAGGCGTGGGCGTTGCTGAGGAGTCC